TTTAAAATTGCACTTGATCAGATATGTTGTTTACAAATATGCAAATGAGTAATTCTGCTTCCTGCATGATGAGTTCCCCATTAACACAGAAATGATTTTTCTAGTTTCTCTTGTCATTATTTACTCTTCTGTTCATAGTAGTTTTATGTTTTCAACATAATATGGGTAAAAGGATCAGTAGTACATGAAGTTCAATGTACAAGTTTGAAACCAGGGAAAATATGCTAATAACATGAAGGTTCAGAGCAACCTGTAATCACCAGCAGCTGTGGGTGTCCGTGGGGTGCCCTAAGATGCCTCTGAGAGCAGAATGGGTTGATAGCTCTACCCTATCTACAGCCAGTGACTTGAGAAGCAACAATCTAAAAACACAGAGTATACAGATACGATTAAAACTGAAGTATTACTATTGTAGAATGAGCATAATTAGATATATCTCATGGGAAGAAACCCTGAACAGTAACTGTGTGAAACTGCACTCTTGTAGCATCACTTAGAAACCAGCCATACAAATTTTGAAGGGAAATTTCCAGATTTTTTTTTTTTTGACAGTTAAGTAGAAATCTTGGCCAGGAGGAGTACAGTAAAAAGCATAATGAAGTGAGTAAGGTCAAGGTCAACTTCTAACACTTCTTGGAAGGTAAATCTCACATACTAGATGGTTTAATAGAGGCTTGTACTGTAGATTTGGCCAAATTTGCTTAAAGTCAAAATGAAGCAACCAGGCTTAAAAAATGCCCTTATCAAATTACAAATTTAAATGTTCCACAAGGACATATATAGACAGCCACCTAAAAGACTGTTATTGACCCTGACCTTTACCATATAGTTGATTCTAAAATGTGAATATAGATGGTGTAACTACACTGTTAGTCTTTGGACTCTTTGTATTTCTGTGAAGACTAATTTGTAAAATCCTTGATGGTTAAAAAAACTGAGAAGTTTTCAACAATACTTTTTTTTTTTTTGCCAGTATGGTATTGATTGTGGGGGCTTGGAAGTGGGATTATGCAGTCAGATAAATTAGGCAGCCTTAAGGAGCAGGCTTTATGCACATCCTGAATGTACCTTCACCCGCTACATTACTTCCCTGGAATTCCTAACCTTAAAGAGTTTGCCTCTAGATTCTCTTATTGTGTTTAGTGGAATAATGGTAAAGTTGGTAACATTTTGGAGGGAGTATAAAATTGGACCACAAAAAATGAAAAAGACTCTTCCTCTTCTCAGATTTATAAAAATATCAAAAGTGACTTTGCTCTAAGACCCAGATTGGCTAGATTTATTCAAGGAAGTTGATGAGACTTCAAAATCAGTTTTTTTCTTCATAGAAATACAAAAGTACACCCTATGCCACCACTGCCACCCCTCGCCCCAGTATGTCAAAGTATTTTCAGGGTTTTTTTTTTTTGCAGTTTCTAGCACAGATCACTTGTTTACTCATGGCCCCACTCATTGATTCATCCTCAGAAGCTGAGACAGCTGCCAGATCACTGGGTGCTTCGGAGCAGTGACAGATGGGAACAAGCAAGGAAGGAACGGGGGAGGAGGAGCAGGCCTGAGGTTGCTTATCCCCCTCCTCCTTACCACTTTTCCCAGCCACATGTGTGTTTTTCAGACACACCACTTGATCTGTCATTTCATAACAAAGGAGAAGTTCCCAAAGTTGA